TGCTCTGGAAACACATGAAATCCCTCATGGAGATTCTCTGTACCTCTCAAGCCAGGGGAGTTTAGAGTCAGAGGGAACAGCTAGAGGTGACTTGCTGCTCTGCCAGGTCACCAGGAGTTATGGGGAAGTGGAATTCTTCCTTATCCTAAGGGATCCCACAATCTAAAAGGGAAAAGCAGATGCTATGTTCCTAAAACACAAGTCACACCTGCTGTGTGACAGTGAGAAGAGAAGGGCTTTTTAAAAATATATATATTTTATTGACTTCTTACAGAGAGGAAGGGAGAGGGATAGAGAGTCAGAAACATCAATGAGAGAGAAACATCAATCAGCTGCCTCCTGCACCCCGCTTCCTCCACTGGGGATGTGCCCACAATCAAGGTACATGCCCTTGACCGGAATTGAACCTGGGACTCTTTAGTCTGCAGGCCTGTGCTCTATCCACTGAGACAAACTGGTCAGGGCAAGAGGGCTTTTTTCAGCAGGGCAGGCTACACAATCTGTGAGGCTCAGTCAAAAAGGAAATGTGGGGCCTCTTGGTCAAAAAGCAAGAAAAACAGTGCTGTGAGGTCCTGGCTGGGTAGCTCAGCTGCTTGGAGCATTGTCCTAATACACCAAGATTGTGGGCTCGATCCCTGGTCAGGGCACATACAAGAAACAACCAATGAATGCAAAAATAAGTGAACAGCAGATTGATGTTTCTCTCTCTCTCTCTAACTAAGTGTGGTTAAATGCATACATAAAGTCAGATACACAAAGACATTTATACGAGGTACTTGGCAGATTCATAGAGAATGGAAAGGTGGCTGCAGGGCTGGGGGAGGGGTGATGGGGAGTTATTGTTTGAAAAAGTAGCTGCTGAGTAGTGATATTTGCTCAACAATGTTAACGTACTTAATGACACTGAACTCAAAACCCTTCACCCTCCTCTGTGCGCGCACACACACACACACACACACACACACGCACACACTACTTCTCGTGGTGTTTTAATTTGCCATTTAACATCATTCTAAGAAAAATTAAAGAACTTCAGCATGAATGTTATCCTTCATATTTCTATTATGCAATGCCAATTTTAAATGAAACTATCAGAGTGTGTAACTTGTATTTGGGGATCACTGAAATGACGCAGTTGGAATTCTGTGGCTCATTCCAGGAAGGGAGGGTACCTGGAGCTGGCCCAGGAAAGGAGGAGGGAGGAAGCAGGGTCCTCCTGGCACAGAGCCTGGGGAAA